GCCTCGATTATTAAATTACATAAAAATAATAAAACATTATGACACACAGTTAGCTTTAACTGTCCCATTTATTGAGAGATCCATTGATTCCGTTCATCTTTATTCTAGAGAAAAATGAAACCAACGCTCGGTGTTGTAATTAGACCTAAAAACGACTCGTATAGAGCGTCAATTAAGAAGGGATCCAAAGGAAAAAGAGATTGAGGTCAATGGGGATATAATCAGGGAGTCAGCGAACTTTTCAAGATCAGCGTGCTTAAGTAATGCCATGAGAGTTTCGCCCCGCGCCCCCCGGACGGCGGCGGACCCCGGCCCTCCCGGATGCCGCGGCCGCGGCCCGCGCCCTCCCCCCGCGCCCCGCGGATGGGCGCGGCCCCCTCGGGAGCGGACCCCGCCCCCTGGCCCCGGACAGGCCCTCACCCGCGATACCCACCCGGGTCCCGCCGCGGGGGCCGGACTCACGCCGGTTCCAGGATCCGCTGCCGCCGCCGCCGCCTCCGCTGCAGCCCCGGAGGCTCCGCGGGGCGGGGACGCGCAGGGAGGCTCGGCCTCGGCTCCGCCCCCAGCCCCGCCCCCGGGACACGCCCCGCCTCTGCTCCCTCCAAACCCCGCCCCCGATCTGCCAGAGCTCCGCCCGCAGTCCGACCGGACCCGCCCAGCTCCGCCCTGGCCCCGCCCCGACTCCGCCCCCTGCCGGCGGGCCCGAGAACTCCAGCTTCAGCGGGGCTTCAGGTCCCTGGGCGGCCTCACCCAGCACGGCAGCCCACGCGCCGCGAGGGGCCACGGGGCCGCTCGCCAGAGCCTGCAGGGGGTCCCGGATCCTCGAGCCCGCACCAGGCCTTCTGCCCCCGGCTCCCGGGGGTCCCGGTGCCAGGTTGGGCGCATGTTGACTTCGCTGTCGCCCTCTGGACAGAGTCCCAGCCTGGCGGAGCAAGGACGCATTTGTGCTTCAGTGTGTCCCACACCTGCGTGTCTACACACCTGAGTGTACCCACACCTGATTGTATCCACACCTGAGTGTATCCCACACCTGAGTGTCCCCGTATATCTGAGCGTGCCCCTCACC